TTATTAATCAAGAGTTGCCATTAAACCACACAACCCCTTGCAAGGATGAGAACTGGGGATCCTGTTCGAAACCGGGTTGGCAACTCTCAGCCCAGCATGCACTGCACCTTGACCCAGAAGTCTTTGTACGGCGGGAAGCGCTCGACATCTAGGCGAAGAGACCTTGACATCACCTGAATCTTTGCGGAAGGCGCAGCAAATGCAAAAACGCAGCGTTCATGCACTTGTACTATTGCCAATTATTGCCAGCCCTGCGCATGCATCAGCCTGTAGTTGGTGCTCGACACTGCGAGAGACCTGCATGCCTCCTCTACCGGGGCTTCCACTTGCTACGGCACCTTCGGTGGCGGCGGCGGATGCCTTTTTGCGATGTTGATTAATTACATCGTGGTGTAGGCATGACTCTTGCAAGAGCCGAGGCTTGTAGGGCCTGTGCTCGCCGATTCAACTCTTGTCGGTTCGAAGTCGAAGCCCTGCACATACACGGGCAGGATTGAGGGCGCTGTTCGCGGTTGAGGGGCAGGGAAAGGCTGGGAATATGCATCGAGACAGTTTCTGGAATCTCGACCAACATTGTTTTCCGTAATGCCACTGACGGGCCGGCTGCCCTGTCTGTTCAGATCGTGTGGGCCGGCGATCCATAGCCATAGCCTGTGGATATCCTGACCTTGACCGGTCGTCTGTCAGCTTCCCGTCAGCTTCCATGCAGCTGTGCTCATGGCATCGACAGGCCGCAGACAAACTCTTTCGCAACTCTGGAAGTGCCTGTCGCGCTTGCGTCTCGGATGCTCGGAACTGTTTTGGCTTGACACTGTGTCTTGTGACTGTGCGCCGAAACTCTCGACACACAACTAACCTAGATTGTGTGAATATCGACGAGTTGCGGCACGCTTGTGGGAGAGCTCGTCGAATCCATGCTTCCCATGGTACCTCGAGGCGTCGAATAGTCTGAATACTCCATTGCATCTCGGGTCACACGCTAACGCTCGCAACGGGCTTGGTGACTCTTCGGACTTTCGGCCAACCCATGCCGTTTCACAGGCGTACCAGTGTCTACGACTGCATAATCTGACTTAAGCTCGCTGTCAACACTATGTCGACAAAACCCGCCGATGAGCTGTTCTCTTGCTTGCAAGCAAGATGAGCTGTTCTTTCTTTCGTCGGTGTTGTGGGCCGGGGAAGTTCTCGCTCTCTCTCCATTCTTCCCCCTCCCTCTCTCTCTTGCTTGCTTGCTTGCTTGCTTGCTTGCTAGGGGTCTGGGGGCCGTGACCCCCCGGCCCGAACGCCAACCCCACAAGACGCGCTCTTTACGTCTGATCGGCCCCTTACCCCCTCCCTAAACCCTCTTTTTTCTTTCTTTCTGCAGGGCATAGGGGTCGCATGTTTGCGACCCTCAGGCCATTGGCCCGCCCCCCCACCCGCTGTGTTATGGAGTGGGAGGCATCCCTCTCTTTCTTTCACCAGGGTTACGACCGAGGGTTGCCCCTCGATCGCGCGCTTCGAGCGCCCCCGTATGTTACGGGGCGAGCTGTGAAAGTAAAGCAGAGCAACATGAAGGCAAGCTGGGCACCGGACGATCGAACACCCCTAAGTGCATGAACAAAAAACGGGGGTTGCCAAGTTCACCTGATGCTCCGGAGTGGCTAGCTGGGTGATTCCCCAGTTCACCTCAGTGTGCTATCATCTTATCTCGAGGGGAAGGTCAGGTTCGTAAAAGTCGAAGTGCAGGGACACGACCTTCCCCTATGGCATGCCTTGTCATTGAGCCTCGGCCAGTGTCGTACACAACTCACAAAACACACTCCAATGCCGGAAAACTCTCTCTCTCTCTCTCTCTGCCGGGCCATCCTCGAGGTCTCGCTATGCACGCAACAACATGCAAACTTCTCACTATCCTGTGGCTGTGATGAAATGTCTTTGTGGGCTTGAAGTTCGTGATCAAGTCGCAGCATCTAGATTCACCCGAAACATATCAGGAATCGGTATACCACTGGGCATCGCGGATTGCTTGGGGGAGGCGTGTGCACTTCCAAAATGTGGGATGCTGCTTCTGCGGTCAGCGCCTGGCGCCATGGTACGTCGTGTTAACTCCACAGTACACAACACTTTTGCGCATTTGGCGATGTGCCGACCAAGATTCAACCAGCCAACCGAGATGCAAAGAGCTTCAAAAACACATCGAAGATGGCGCATCGAAGGACTGCATCTCAAACCTCGAACACCCTGGATTTCCAGCGATTTCCCGGCCCAGGTGCGCTCCGAAACCACTCGGCCCGGAGCCCCCGAAGGGAAGGGCGGGATTCGCAAGGTGCATGGCCGTGTCCTGGGATATGTTGACTTCAGGAGCCTACGTGGCCTCAGTACTACGAGTTTCAAGATAAGCATTGTCTAGGATCACTTTCGGGCTCCATTCCTGGCGAAAGCCTAGACTGTGCAACTTTGATGAAGCACTTCCCTTCATCAAGGGGGTCGACATGTAGATCCGAGACTGGCACCACATGCCAGGAGAGCAAGTCCATCAGCAGTTGTTCAGGCTCCGTCGAGAGCGTGGGCCTACTCTGCAATCCTCAAGTCCAAGCCCCAGCTCACGAGTCCAAGCGTCGTTAATGCACACACCTCCACTGCTTGTCCTGTCGATGACATACTTTGCCCGTGAACCTGAGGTCGCGCCGCCACTTGAGCTTTGGGGTCTCGAGTAGGGAAACGGCTACAGGCCACAGAGCAGGCATGGCGGGAAGATTTTGATCCGCACCCTAAAGCGTTGAACTCGCTTATGAGGCGCCACTCCCACAGCCCTACCAGATTCGCCAGATTCAGAAGGGCAGCTGCTCGGCGAGAACACGTACAGAGCCAGTGGTGTCTCGCGGTCGTTGATGAACTCCTAGGATACACATGATTCCAGCTTTCAGGAATACGACAGCCGAAATGCTAAACTACTGGCCTGAACTGAACCTGAAAAGGCAGCAAACCCCGCTCCATCAATATTCCGCAGGAAGAACCAGAGATTGCTTGCCCGAAAGATGCTGCAAGCAAGGATGGCAATGGGACTTGTCTGACGTCTGCTCTCGCACGGTGCCAAGACAGGACAAACTGGAAACGCTCGAATCCACTCTCAGTATGAAGCCCAGGACGCAATGGCCGAATCGAGATCATCCACAGGCACCACGGACATCATGGGTCCAAAAGCCTCCTGGTCTGCGCGCAGAGATCATTCCGCGCAATCTCGAAAGATGGAAAGATGCACACATGCCTGTCGACTGCACATGTCGTATCACTCTGAAGCCGTTGTTTGCCCCTGAACCCAGTGCAGACGCGCGATGCCTCGACCATCGCAGGAGACGACAAGTCCGGGCTTGCGATGATGGTCGGCGGCCTTGGGATCAGAGACTCTTCGGCTCCTTGGGCTTCGGCTAAGCTCTCCCATCGGAACAACATGCCACTTTGAGTGTACGCATCATCTAGTAATCTAGTATATGGGGGATAGTCAAGGCTTCGGTGGCACAAGACAAACAGGACCCAGACCAAGGGCCGTATCATCTTGGTTGAATGCCATGCTGCACGAAACACTTCGCCGCATCCGCCCCCGCCTCTGCCTGGGCTTTCTTCAACGAGTATGTAAGTGGGCCAATCGATGGGGTTCTTCAGTGATCTGGATGGTGTCTGATGTTCGAGAAACCGGGCGAAGCCACTCATTTGCATGAGTTGCATCTTCGGCTTCAACGATTGGGAGAGGAGGGGGATCGTAGCTCCCTGAAGAGGCTGCTCAAATCGGCTCAAGTCGCAGCAGATCCTCCGCAGATAACTTGCCCTCCAGAGGTGTCGATCATATTCTTGATGCGGTCATAGTGCCTCTGCTGGCGAATCCGTTGCGAGCTCTTTGGATCCTACTTCACAGGACGCGGAGGGGCAGCAGTCAAAATCAAATAAGCAAACAGAATGCAACATGGAGTGCGATGGCTCTCCCACACAAATGACACTGACAAGCCTGGAGAAGTGCAGACAGGTGGCCTCCGGTTCACAAGTCTGCCAAGATGTTCGGTGGAGTCGCGTGTGGGATTCATTATGCCGACAGCCTCCTCTGCAGCAAGGCGTTTGGCTGCCGATGCGCACGTGCGTCTGACCCTGTTGAGTTCTTTGCTGCTTGAAGCCCATTTGTCCATCCCTGGCAAGTTCGTGGGTCCAGCGATGGGGTCGCACTGTGATGAACCCGTGACCGGCCTCCTGCTCGTGAAGCTGCTTTAATTGCTATACAACTCGACCAGTATGAACCGCTCAAGAACTGAGCCCGCAGTTCTGATACAACGCCGGCATCTAGCAGCGTCTCTCCTTCAGGGCATCAGTGAGATCCTTCGCCACTTCCTGCAGGGTGCGTTTGTTCCCATCTGCGGCTTCTCATCAAGAGAAAGAAAGATCCGTGATGCCATAGTGGCGGACTTGATGTGGGCTGTGAGACGACAAAACCTCCCGCATTGAGTCAGGGCAGGGCAGGCCTCGCTCCGTCTGGGATTTTCGGCGAGGGCGGTGCGAATTCTACTGCAGTCTCGTGCAATGACCGTTCTTTCATGGGCTGGCATGGATGCCCTGACAATCTCATGATAACTGGAGCTACTACTTAAAACCGCCGTTCATGATTGGGGCGGGCCTTGGTGGTACATCGTAGTAGTCGTCGTCGTCTTCGCGGTCGTGATCATGAGTGCATGAGAGAGACATGCTACCAGGCCATGCTCTTGCGGGCGTGGCCAGGTCTCTATGTTGTACCAGAGTCCACAAGGATGCAGTTGCTTTTGCATGCTCTTGGCAGGCTGAGACGGAAGAAGACGAGCAAAAGACCAAAACGGGTTGTGGGAAGAAGAGCAAGCAATAACAGGAGATGCTCGAAAGCAGAGCGTGAAACCTTGCAGGCATGTTTTGCTGGAAAGCAGAGACCTCACAGGGACTTCGAAGTTAGAGCAACGGGTTTCAACATCGGGGCTGTGCAGGCCCCGCCAGAGACCGAAGGTTTTGGTGTTAGGGGGTTGCACGCTCCACCAGCGCCCTCAAACGCCAGGGTCAAATCGTGGAGCACAGGTTCGGCCGCTTCGTGTGGATTGTTTTTGGGATCGGGAAAGCTTATAGTCAAGTCGTTGCAATAAGGGAATAACATCCTAGTGGTTGGCGCACTTGTGACCGTAGCTGCTGTAGCGACTCTCCCATGACCTAGATCCAAACCCCTCGAACTAAAGATGCGGCAAGATAATTTGCGGTGGAGGAGACAATGCCATATCAGTCATGGGGCATGAATGGACTATGTGTTTTATCGGCTCGTTCGTTTATCTTCCACATCTACGCTGTGAATAGAGCGCTTTTGCTTGCGATTGTCCCTCGTTGCGTGAGTGACGCCAGCAAGTCCTTGTGGACCAAGATGTAGTCAGGACTGATGCAAAGCTGGCCTCAATTGCAGATTGACATCCGGACAGCTACCCCGGTCTCAAAATGGACGACTGGCTCAGAACATCGTACACAATGTATATGTGTGTATATGTACATGTGTAAGTGATTATAAGTGCATGCGAATGTGCATATGCTTGTGTATAAGTGGGTAGGCATGTATGCACTTACGTATGCATGCATGTGTGTTTCCATAATTCTAAATCTAACTGTCACGTCAACAATAGTGTTCATACGCACTTATAGGTTGCTAATTGTCTTAATATTCATGTATAGCTACCATGTGTCAGAACAAGACATGCTAGATTGTAGCAGCTCTGTCTGAAGCTCCAAGCCGGACCCATTGAGGATGTACAACTTGCTTACAATGCAGACCTACCTGAATGCAAGCCTGTGCAGGTGTAACTAAAATTGCATCAATGCACTGGTGCGGGGCTTTACCCTCAGCACAGCACAAATCACATGTTGAATGCCCGCGCACCTGCATTGACAAAGAGACCGATGTTGGCGATCCTCGGTGGTGCTGCGGGGTCAGGAACATTTGCTTTGGGCAGGGGCTGACCGTCTTGAAGACTTGGCCAAGCCATCTTGGGGTCACGCACGCTCCGGCCACTCTCGGAAGTAATGCCGAGCCAACAGCTCCTTTTCACTCTGGACTTTGCAATCCCGACACCTGAAGCTGCTTAAGCCAGCCAGGGCACCGTTTCGCAGCTAGTTTCAGCTGGCTTGCTGAAAATCCCCGATCAAAGACGACGGGCGATTTGCCGCCCAGCTCTAACCTTCAGCGGCAAAACCCAGGGCGGCGGGTCTGTTTCACTCGGTATCCTCTCGTATGATGCACACCGCACACTTGGACTGCCAGAGCAAAGTATACTTGTAGCTGGGTAGCGGTGCCTCTTCGAGTCAAGCGGCGTGACCGGACACAAATGCTTGGCGGCCGCCTCCATGACTATGCGCCCCACGAGGCCGTTGCCTTCGCGAAGTGAGCCCACATTTTCTGCTCGCAAAGATGTCACGCTCCCCGCTACGCGACAGTGACAGCGACAGTGACAGCCAGCAAGCAACTCATGCTCAACGAAAAACGAAAAGCCAACGTTCTTCTTGACTGCTTTGTTTTTCGCCGCCTTACGGCCACGACAACCATCTCACCGCTTTGCTATCTTTGATAGGACTAGAAAGTAAGGACGTGCGGCCTGGCCCTGCCTCCCTTTCTTTCAGCGGGCTTAGCTGCACTCTCCCACACTGCAGACAGACTTGTTTAATCAGCCAGGAGAAAGAGCACCCCGGTGAACCTTCGGCAGGTTGGGAACATATGCGGCAACAGGTATGTGAATTACCAATTACACAATATGTGCAACATTCGTCCTCCCTCCCCCTCTCTCTCTCTCACGACACTTCTCTACCTCGCGCTCTATCCCTCCTCTGGCCTGTGTAGAAGATATGATCCCAGCGACGAGAAAGGAGCTCAGTGGCTTCAGGAATTTCTCCGAGATAGACCTTAGTTATCAGTTGCACTTAACAGCTGCAGCCAAGAGCAACAGCTGTACCTGGTAGTTCTTTCGCCACCCAGCCACACGGCAAGCATCCTGGTCGAGGTATTTCTCGCAAAGCTCCTGCAAAGTGTCGGAAGGCAACGAGAGTCTCGAGTCGCTCAAACGCGTCCGGAGCTCAATAGTCTCGTAATCTAAATCCCAATTGCACCAGCATGCAAAGCTACTTCCTAGGCCTTGATCAGATTTGAGCTGGCATCGCATTGCTCCGGCGGCTTGATTACGGCCTTAGAGCATCTCTCTTCTCAAGACCAGGTGTGTGGCCGGGTGATGCGCAGAGCTATAAGAATGTGCCGGATTGGATGGTCTATGTCTATGTGCTGCCATGCGGGAGACTGTCTGCCCATGTAGTAGGCTTGTTCACCTATTCACCAATTGACTGACGACTGACTGATTGACTGACTGAGTGCCCGACTGACTGGCCAACCAACCAACCAATCAACCAACCAACCAGCGCGCGAAAGAACTAGCTAAGAGACTCACTAACTTAACGTGACTTATTCATTTACTCGCAAAAACTACGTAGCGACTAAACTGTCGGCGAGCACACACTCACTCACTGGCTCACTGGCTCCCGACTCATTGACTGACTGACGGACTGACGGGCTGGCCGGCTGGCTGGCTGACTGACCCCTCTGGCTGACTGACTGGCTGACGAATTGCCTGACCGAGAAACGCACAAAGTCACGAAGTAAGTATGCACTGGGCATGCACAGGGTGCACGGGAAGTGCTGTGCGCGAAGACAGCAAGGCCCGGAGTGCGCATGCCGACGGCGGGGCATGCAGCAAGGCGCGCTCGGTGCTGAAATTCGTCCTTCAGTGCTGAGAGCCGCACGCAGTTTCCGGCCGAAATCGAAGCGATCAGAGGTCCGAAGGTCAGGTAGAAGGGAAAGTTGTAAGGGGCGATGATGTAGACGATCCTGGGCGCTGCGAGCTCTGCCACGGCAAGGCATCTGTAAATGATCTTTTGGTTGAGACAAGTTCTGAAGGTCTTTGCGTTTGGAGCGTGATCTTGAAGAGAAGGACTTTGTGAGGGTTCGGGAGGAGCTCCACGGGCTGTGATCAAAACAGAGGGGGCTGCTCCGGCCAAGCTGCCCCTTCGGCTCTTTCCGGATCCATGAGGACGCCGGCTGCAAGAAGGTCGGAGTCGACACACTGCAGGGCACAAGAAGTCTCTCTCGGGTCTCTCAGGCTCCCGTGGATTCGTAAGTTTTACGGCAGGGTCTCCTACTGAAATCGAGTCGTCCCCTAGTCGCATCCAGCCTTTCGGGTCTCATCCAGTTGTGGAGGTTGGAGAGCGCATACTGCACCTGGCTCTCTTGGGCTCAGTTCTAAGGGCTGCTGGGCCACGTGGTTGATCTTGGAACTCTGTTCAAGCTGAAGACAGTTTCAATTTGTCGGCGATCTAAGAAATTATGCTGCCCCACGCCGGCAAGGACATACCAAACGTGCCTTCCCTACCCCATCCGAGGCTTCACATGTCATGAGGCGTAGGCCGAGGTCCAACACAGTCTGCTAAGCGTCGAAACTTCTGAAACGTCCTTCCGTGCAGCAGATGCCTCGGCCAGCGATGCGGTCACATCATACAGTGTCGACTCCGCCTGGCGGCAGATACGGCCCGATGTTTTCAACAGACCCTCTACCACCAACACAACTCTGGCTCCTCGGGTCGTCTCAAGTCCTTGGCGAGGGCCTCCGCGATCTTGACTTCCTTTCGACCGCTAAAATCTCCGAGGCAATCTTGTGATTCGGTGCTGGCGTGCGTGGTGGGCTCAGGGTCAGAGACCACTTGCTCTCTACTTCTTCGTAATGAAATAACATTCTGTGCGGGGACTGGCAGCAGACACACGCTTGCTGAGTTTATTCGGTGTTGTGCATCCGTTCTGGCGAGCTGTGCACGTCGCCACAAAGTGACCTGAAGATCACACCGTCACCTTACTAACAGTCCTAAGCGATCCCCCGCGGCAAGAATTAACAAGAGTGTAAGATTCCTGCACATCCGAGTCCACGGACATGTGACATGTGTTCAAAGCGGGCTGCAAATGTCATGCTGCACAAGACAGTGAATCGACAGTTAACCAATACCCCCCTGCCTCAGCACGAAGCATTGCCTCGATCGCCAAGAGCTGTGATCTACGCCACTCATAACTCTTCGTCCTGCACCGGCATTCTCAATGGATGGCTTCCCATGCATCTGGGCACAGGATCTCAACCGATGTGGCGAAAGATGGGTAGAACATCCTAAAGCATTGCAGTTCACGCCCCGAGGCTGCAAGCAAGCCATCGAGGAGTCCCACATTGCGGGCCTGCCAGACCTGAACGTCTGCCGGAGCACGGTGTAGCCCTCGTTTAGGCTTCTGACCCACCTTACATTCAGTCACTCGCAGCATCCACAACACAAGATGGGATCTATAGCATCCGTCTCTCAGACGAGACACACGCGCATGGCCCTTGCAGGAAAAATCGTCGAATTTGCGCCCCCGAAATATCGGACAAGCAGAACTCTTGCAAGCGAGGCCACGTCGGATCCAGGCTCCCGTTGCTGCGGGCGGCCTGCATTTTCTCCCAACCTCCGGTGTGCGACTAAGTTCAGGCTACAAGTATGTGACTTTTCAGGGTGCTCTGGCAATCGTGTTAGAGGCTTGCGCAGTCTGAAAGGACGATTTTGCATTGGTATCTGGTTTCTACACCGGCGGGTTCGTCAAATCCGCGTGTCTGCATGCCCAAGGATCTTGCACAGCCCGAGGAAATTCAGCAGCCCCGATATCTTTAAAAAGTCAGCAGAAAAAACATGGCACTGTTTCTGCACCACCTTACTCCCTTCACTCACTTCTATGATTCTATGACATGATCTCCACATGGATTGCTGAATTGATACCGAAAGAACGAAATCCTACCGAGGGACCGCTTCGGCAGGATGCTTATACACGGGTACTGATTCTCGGAGGGCCACAAGTCGCTGCGAGGACCTAGAGGTTCAGCTACGAGTATTCGGAGGCAATTTCAGCCGAACAGGCCCGCATCTTCCAGCCTGCTGTCGTGGAGGCCATCTCTGGAGATGGAGACTAATAAAGACTAATGAGAAGCGTAAAGTCTGAGGCTAAGCCGGACGCCTGCGACATGCAGCAAACAGTCACCAGCCGTGAGACGTGCCCTCTGGGACTCTTTGGGACGTTCGGAACCGCCAGGAGTCGAGAAGGCGGAGCTCGAGCTGCTCTTCGGTGCTCGGCTTTCAGTCTGCGCCTTGGCTGGGCCGGGTTTGCTCTAACCCTGCTATCCAGCTTCAGAGCTCTGGAGGTGCTCTGAGGGAGCTGAAGCAGCTCGGAAAGGCGAAAGGACTTGGCCCTCTCAACCTCTACATCCGCAAATCTGAATCTGCCGAAGTGTACAAGACGATACGACCCGGGAATCCACCGCCGTCAGGTTGCCATGGGCCGGTTGGGGCAGCTCCTGGGCTTTCGGACTTGGACAACGCGCAGCAGGCAAGTCCCCATGTAGGAGGTTCAGACTACTCTTTATCTAAACCACTGACACTCACACTAAGAGTTGCTGCACAAACTTCTTTACGGCATAGGCTGGCTCTAAATGCAGGATTCGAGTTGATCCCACCAATCATCAGAGCCACACACACAGCGTGCGCTTCACGGCCAAGCCGGGAGAGAGGCGAAGGGCTCTGGCCCAGAGCATTGAAGGTCGTCGATTATCGGGTCGGGATTCGCGGCGGTGCTCTGTCAATATTGATGGAACTGATGCCAAGCAGCTGACGCGATCAGCCCATGCAACCATCCGGCGCTTGGCTCCCCATACTAGCACTAGATAGCAAAGTAACTTGTATCCCTTTTGCATCCAGGACTCTCGCAACCAGCCGGGAAGTAACTTGTATCCCTAAGCTCCTAAACCCTCAGCCACGAAACCTTGCGACCCCTCACCCGTTTCTCCGGAGCGAAGGCGTTCAGCCAGGGTGCTTGAAATGTAGTCGCAGGGATCCCAGCTCCATGGACTGCTTGCAGTACTTGCACTCAACCATGCCTCAGCATCTGAGGACACATGAGGTTGTGTCACACCCCATAGCCTTGATAAGTACCTACTTGAGGCTCCGGATACCTAGGCTTCGGCCGTTCGAGGCAGGTAGGGCTAGGTAGGCAACATAAAGTTAGAACCTGGGTAACGTCTGAGTCGGATCTCCCATTGGGCTCTTGGAGCTCTGAGTGCGCTGTTGGCCAGCCCCTTTGGTGAAAACAAATGCGAGCAGTGATATGCTGCGCTCATATCACCAAGGTACGCAGCTTGCACTGCTTCGGGTGCGTGGGGGGTTCCAAACAGCCGCACCAGGGGCACTCCTGCCTTGGCAGCAGCAGACGAGTCACAACCAAAAGCGCAACTTAACCCATCGCCACAGATGTAGAAGGGAATCATGCGCACGACAGAAGCACACATCTACTTAGCAAGCTACACCGACATTAGGACAGGAATTTTCAACTAAATCAATGCCGTCATTTAAAGGAAAGTGGAGGAGTGCAGCGTGCGCATGATTGGTCTCATCTTGCCCGCTGTGCACTGTGAACACTGTAAACAGGCTTTGGCGGCCATCCAGCTTACAGCGTACTGGTGTCACCATGCAGCCAAATCTGCAACACGTGGTCTCTCAGAACTCTGAGATGACCCCCTCTTCAGTCCAACAAGTCACGGCTCTCGTCTGGCCTTCCAGCGCTCGTGTCCTCCAATGTCCGAAAGGGCAAAATCCGGCTTGTCTTGTTGCCATGCTTGAGACTCCAATGCACTGGCTGCTTGGCCGAAGAAACCCACAGCCTGAATCACTTCAGGCTCAGATAGAACTCAGAAATATGGTGTCCTGAAGGTGATCGCTTGGGGGAAGGCGCTGACGTTTGCCTGAGCATGCTTAGGCGTTGCTGCGCTGCTCTGTGATTTCGGGTTCGGCCTAGGATTTTACAGGGCAACCGAGTTGTGGTATCGATAGTTTGCCCATGCTCATGCAAGAATCCGGAGTGCTCGGCCGCTGCCGCATTGCTAACATACTGTGCTCTTTCTACTAGGCTATGCAGAAGCATCACTCCCTTCAAGTTTCCTCCCGAGCTGAAGGCACCACCAAAAGCACCCCGGCCTAGTGAAATGTGGCTAGCACGCCGAAGATCTGCAAGAGCAAGAGAGATGAGTGCTTCTTCTCGGACGGAACCGAAAGAGCAACTGAGCATCCCCCCCCCCCCCCCC